GAGAGAGAGAGAGAGAGAGAGAGAGCGCGCGAGAGAGAGAGAGAGAGAGCGTGAGAGAGAGAGAGTGAGAGAGAGAGAGAGAGAGAAAGGTCAGACGTGAGGTTTTGCGTTATTGAAAGCAGACTGGATATATTTTCTGAATGCCGCTATAGGCAAGTAAGTAAGAAAGCGCACGAGCCTTCTTATAGAACGAAAATTCAATGGGACACATTTCTACATGCGCGCATCGTATGTATTTAGTCAGCGTGCCGGTAACAAGCACAGAAACTGTTGTTCGTCACGCTCTCGTGGCCAGCTTTCATTGTACACATGTCCGATACACGCACGCACGCACGCCCGCACGCACACCCGCGCGCGAACAAAGGTATGCGTACTTTGTACATTGTAGGTTTGCACACCCACAGAAAGAATCCGGCGCACACATGCATGCATACACGCACGCAGGCATGCACGCACACCCACAGAGAGACGTACACACACACGTACATGCATACACGCACATGCATACATCCATGCACGCATGCGCGCACACACACACGTACATGCATACACGCACATGCATACATCCATGCACGCATGCGCGCACACCCACACCGGGACGCGAATTTTGTTTTCCTACACGTTATATCCATTGCAGAGTTTTGGGCTCCTCTGATTGGCTGCTTTGATTTGCTTTGACTCAATAAACCTTCAAAACAAGGGAACAAACGCCATTTGGAAATATGTGTTATGGTTTATGATCGGTAGATAAGTAAGTTTTCTGATGTATTTTCCATGAAAAACACACATTTTACTCATTAATATAAAATATAATATCAGTGATCACTATAATTACAATTCTTTGTGTAAATGTGTTATTTTCATCGTTAACGTTAAGTTATGAGAGGGTCTGGGCCATATGGTCTTGACTCTCGTAACACTTACTACATACGTACGTATATGTACTCGTACTATAGCAGTACGAGTACTCGTACTATAGCAGTACGAGTACTCGTACTATTCTACTCGTCGCAGGAGTAAGGAGCGAAGAGCTATAGTACTAGAGCTATACGTACTCGTACTCGTTGACGCTAGACTGAGAAAAAAGTTTTCTGGTGTATTTTTTTGAAAAACTTAAAACACACATTTTACTCATTAATTATAAAATATAATATCACTATAATTGCAATTCTTTGTGTACATGTATTTTCAAATGTAAACAAGTACTAACACATACGTGTCGTTTAATAACAAAGGTTTGTTTAATTTTTGCTCAGTCTAGCGTCAACGAGTATCTCTAGTACTATAGCTCTTCGCTCCTTCCTCCTGCCTGCGATGGAGCGAAATGCTACTCTATAGTACGAGTACATATACATACGTATGCAGTATTACGAGAGCCCAGACCCTCTCATAACTTAAGATTATGATGAAAATAACACATTTACACAAAGATTGGAATTATAGTGATATTATATTTTATATTAATGAGTAAAATGTGTTTTTCATAGAAAATACATCAGAAAACGTACTTATCTACCGATCATAAACCAAAAGAAATATTTGCAAATGGCGTTTGTTCTCAGATTGTTTTGAAGGTTTGTTGAGTTAACGCAAATCAAAGCAACCAATCAGAAGAGCCCAATAGATATAACGTGTAGGAAAAAAAATTCGCTCCCTGGCCGGGTGTAGATTGGCCTGCGTGCTTTATGTATACGTGGCTATGTGACCAGAGTTGTGTATGCACACCGATAGGGGTCGCTCGCCCTCTCGGCTGGCTGGTGTGTAAAGTTAATGAAACGTGTTCCAGTCCTGTCATAACAAAGTACTGTTATAGACTATATATATGAAGTAACAAAACTTACATGGTGTCAGAAGTCGGATCGGATGGGCACGGAGAGTGACATTTGATCATGAAACGTGAAATGCTAACGTCGTAAATTGACGATTGATCATAGAGCCGGTGAGCTCACGTGTAATCGAAAAAAATCCAACATGGCGGAAGGGAGACTACGAAAGCCAGAACCCCTGAGTTTCGGAACAAATGCCGAGGAAAGTTGGCGAGTATTTGAACGCGAGTATGACATTTATGTCGCATGTGCGTTTAGTGGAAAATAGTGGATAAAGTGAAAGCATATATGCTATTGAACCTTGCGGGACCGGAGGCAATCGAGAGAGAACGTTCGTTTGTCTATGAACCGGAACGTACAGACCCGGTGAATCCAGAAGCAGTAATACCGGCGGAATCAAGGGAAAATCCCGAGTGCCTAAAACGTAAATTTAGACAAATTTGTAACCCGAGGAGTAATGTGATATTGGAGAGGTTTAAATTTAACTCCCGAGTACAACAAAAAGGTGAAACAATACAAACTTTTGCAGCAGATTTGCGCAGTAAAGCAAGCACCTGTGAGTATGGGCAACTGTGTGATCAGCTGATTTGAGACAGAATTGTAATAGGAATCACAGCTGACGGTGTTCGGAAAATACTGTTGAGAGAAAGTGAACTCACACTGGATAAGACCATACATACGTGTCAGATACACGAACTATCAGAACAAGATGCTAAGTTTATGCAAAATAAACTTAATGGAATATTGGAAGAGTACAAGGACCTGTTTGATAACACTCTAGGGAAACTGCCAACACGGTACAAAATAACGGTGGATCCAGAAGTCACACCGATAATCCGGGCGGTAAGAAAAGTGCCAGTTGCTGTGAAAGATAAGCTGAAAGAAGAGCTTGACAACATGGTTGCTAAGGGAATTATAGCACCAGTTACAAAACCTATAGATTGGGTATCTGCTTTAGTGGTTGTAATGTTATGTCTGTCTGTGACAATCACTAACAAGTGACAACAGGGTTCAAACATAAAACGTGTATTCTGACGATACGAAATGTCAACAATATGGCGAACACTGCCGAGCAACTGACCACTGCGCATGTGTTGTGCGCAAGCATGATATAGGGGGGCGGTCCTAATAAAGTACAGTAAATCATTATGTTAAACTGTTCATATCATTACAGTGGTGACTACAAAAAAGAACTCTGATGAACTGCGCATTTGCTCAGATCCTGGTGATCTTAATAAAGCAATCAAGAGACCTCGATATCCTTTGCGTACTATTGAGGAGGCAGTGTCAAACATGCCCAACGCAAAATACTTCACCGTGGTGGATGCCAAACAAGCGTTCTACCATATTCCATTGGAGGAGAAGTCGTCATATCTGACATGCTTTGGAACACCGTATGGTCGTTACAGATACTGTCGCATGCCGATGGGAATCAGTTCAGCATCAGAAGTCTACCAGTGTGCAATGGAACATTTGCTAGCTGGATACCCATGTTTGGTGATAGTGGATAACATTCTGGTGTATGGAGCCACGGAATTGGAGCATGATGACAATCTCAAGAAAGTGTTAAAGCGTCTCCGAGAAATCAACTTAAAGTTGAGTGTGCGCAAATGTCAGTACAAGCTGCAAGAAGTACCATACATTGGACATGTACTGTCCAAGGACGGACTGAAACCGGACCCAGAAAAGGTCCGAGCAATCAGTGAAATGCCGACACCACAAGATGCGACTGACCTGCTTCGTTTTTTTGGAATGGTGAAATATCTCGCCAAGTTTGTGCCTAACCGCAGTGAAAAGGCCGCGCCGCTGAATGAACTGCTGAGAAAAGACAATGAATGGAAATGGGATATATCCCAGCAGTAGGCGTTTAACGAGATAAAGCAGAGTATTGCACAAGTGACAAATTTGGCGTATTTTGACGTCAGGAGAAGCGTAACACTCACATGTGACGCATCACAGAGTGGTCTTGGAGCAGCATGCCTACAAGATGGAAAACCAGTCGTGTACGCATTGCGTGCCCTAACACAAGCTGAAACAAGATACGCGCAAACAGAAAAAGAACTACTCGCGGTGGTGTTCGCGTGCACAAGATTTCGTGATTACGTGTTTGGCAAGAAGGTGACGATTGAAACAGACCATCAGCCATTAGTATCAATAGTGAAGAAACCACTATCTGCAACTCCAGCAAGATTGCAATGCTTGCTGTTGAGGCTGCAAAGCTACAGTTTTAACCTGGTGTACAAGAAAAGTAGTGATCTCTACCTAGCAGATACATTGTCGAGGGCATACTTGCCAATCAAGGACAGTGACACAGATCTAGAGAGCACACAGGACTATGAAATACTATCAGTGTTGCCAATCAGTAGTAAGAAGCTGGAGGAGCTGAAGGAAGCTACTTCCAACGATGTCACACTCAAAAAAGTTCACAAAGCCATCGTCATGGGTTCGTCGAAAAGTGAATCTGAGCTCAGACCATTCTATCCATTTGGTGATGAACTGATTGAAGACGAGGGTGTGATACTGAAAGGTCAGAAAATAGTGGTACCAAAAGCACTGCAGCGTGAATACGCTAACTTAGTACACAGTGGTCATTTGGGGGCAGAAGCCACCAAGCGTCGTGCAAGAGACATCATGTACTGGCCAAGCATGTGTCGAGACATAGATGACATAATAGGCCAGTGCAACATATGCCATAGCACAAAATTGCACCAATCGAGAGAACCACTACTACCATATCCAGTGCCAAGCAGACCATGGGCAATAGTCGGAACGGATTTATTTGAGTGGCATGGCATCATGTACCTTGTCCCAGTAGACTCGTACTCTGGATGGTTCGAACTGAGCACAGTTACGGACACATCGACTAAAACAGTAGTGCAGAAACTCAAATCGCATTTCTCCAGGTTTGGTATTCCAGACATGCTGATCTCCGACAGTGGATCACAGTTCACGTCGAGAGAATTTAAGGACTTTGCAGCAGCATGGGGACTCCATCATACAATGAGCAGTCCACATTTCCACAGTAGCAACGGACTGGCGGAGAAAGCTGTTCAATCTGCTAAGCAGCTACTAGAGAAATCGTTCAGAGACGGCACGGATCCCTACCTGAACATTCTGAATTGGCGCAATACGCCAAGAGACAACACATTGGGATCGCCAGCGCAACGGAATTTGTCGCGTCGAACAACAACAACAATTCCTACGGCTGAAGCTCTGTTAAAACCAGAGATATTGGACCCTGAGTCTTTTCTCTGACAGTTGGTGTTGGATCCGCTGTCTGCAAAGGTATGAGCGGTTTAGATGACTTGTCAATATTCTTCTTCTGCTGCTGTTTGCATGCGTACAGTGTCCCCCCTTTCGCTTTATGACAAACTAGGTAACGTGGTCAAATTGGCGGACGAGCCAAAGATTATACATTGTCAAATCTACAGAAAGGAGAGAATACAGAAGAAACCGGCGCCATCTGCTTAAGGTGCCAGCAGTTTCAGCAACACCAAATGCTGACATGCTTTCCACTTCAACAACCGTGAGTGCACCAACAGGTACAACCAACTCGACGGAAGCTAGGTGTGTCAACCCGGAGACAATCGCAGAAGGCAGTCCCAAACCTGTGCCAGATCCCGGAGGCATTCCCAGAACAACGAGATGTGGGAGGATGATCAATCTTTCAGTACGATACAAGCAGTAAAGATCGCGTTGTTAGTGTAATAATGTAAACAATTGTGAGAAACGAATAATCGTGCTAAAGATAATTGTTATTTGTGTAATGGGCATTTGCATGATCCAGAAAGTTGCGTTAACATTTGTGAGAGATTTCCTGTTAATCTGTGGTGTTAAGACACAGAAGCAACTTGTGTTAGATTTTACTAGAGAATGTGCCAGTCGAGTGAGAGCGATTTATTTCTTTATATAGCCGACATAGCTACCCTATAGTAGAGACTTATTTTGGTGGATTCTATATAATTTGTACAAGAGTACTATTGTTCTACAAAGGGAAGGATGTAGATTGGCCGGCATGCTTTGTGTATACGTGGTTATGTGACCAGAGTTGTGTATTCATTCCGATAGGGGTCGCTCGCTCTCTCGGCTCGCTGGTGTGTAAAGTTAATAAACCGTGTTTCAGTCTTGTCATAACAACAGGCCCGTAGCCAGGGGGGGTTCAGGGGGTTCGAACGAACCCCCCCCCCCGAGT